CGGGTAACCATAATCCTTTGAACAAAGTTCGAAAAGGATGCCGGGTAACCATAATCCTTTGAACAATATTCGTATATTTTCATAGTAATGATATCCTTTGTGYCATGCGTCATAGGTGACAAGCATGCAAATTTAACTTAGAAAATCTAACCCTTAAACATAGACCGTTGATTAAAAATCTCAAATATTACATTAAATGCCAAATTCTGCCTTGAGATTTTATCAGCATTTATCTATATTTTCCTATATTTTACTTATCTATATAGGTGAAATTTTCTAAAACGTACATCATGACTGGCGTGGCAACACAAGGCGTTGAAAGTCACGGATGGGTCGTCTCATTTTCAATATCTTTCCAAGCACTTGACTCAGGGATGGTTCCACTGAAAAACGCTCGAAATCAAAATRTAGTAAGTTTTTAGAGTACAGTTAACTCTCTTTAAACGACCACTCTARTAAGCGACCATCTCYCGTAAACGACCACCTTTTAAATTTCCCGTTTTATTCAGTTTCCCATACTGAAAACTCTGGAAAAAGACTTTCTCGTAATCGAACATCTCTCGTAARCGACCACTTTTTCCTGATCCCGRGGTGGTCGTTWACGAGAGAGTTGACTGTAGTTGATTCGAGTTCATTATGCTRTGATAGTTACCCGCTGAAGCTGGATGTTTCGAAAAGCAAATAGCTGCCGGGAACACTGTTCCAGTTATCCTAGGGGCTGATCCAAGATTTTCCTCAGCGAGGGATGTGGAGGTCTCAGGAGGGGGTTCATCCCACAAAAATCATTACCATGAAGATACAAAATTGTAAAAAGATATTGAAGGATACAGATCTCAGGATGGGGTGCGCACCCCCAGCTGGATCCGCCCCTGTATCCAGTTCAATTACCAAGAGCAACTATTACGACATAAAACCCTAGATTTAAATTCTCTAATGTTTATTTGCGAGCACTATTTCGTCACGTTGTTGGCTCTCCACCAATGAGAGACGAAGAAGATTAGTTGTTGATTCATGATTTGTGATTCTAAGTTCATTTTGTCTTGACCTTCACCAAAAAAAAATGTTATTCACAAAATCATTAGAATGTTTTTTTTTTAATCTACGCAAGGTTTTTCAAGCAAATACGGACTCCTACAATGTAGTCTTCAACCGTATTGAACCAGTTATCTCTACAAAAGAAATTAAACTTCGCGTTAAAGAATGGCACAAGGAGATAGCTCTACGGATGGAACTCTATGGCTGTGAAGGTAAGTAATAGATCAAAGACGAGTGCAAGTGTTTCATCAGGGGATCCAATTACCGATGAACTGATGAAAACACGTGCGTCTTTGAGTTATAAAGGTTCAATCTTACAATACAGGCTAGTAACGAGGTATATTTTTTTGCTGTTGATCCGGATCAAAACGGCCTAAAAACGTGATCCCGATCCCAAAACTCCGTACATTTTGAGCCGTGATCCCCTTATAGAATCGTTGAAAAATATCATTGATCCCGATCCCAAATGAAAAACCTTTGATCCCAGGTTAAATCCATTTGATCCGGATCCTAGGCCTAAATCCTGATCCCTGATCCCAAAATAGTCCAAAAAATGAGGCTGATCCCTGATCCCAAGACCTCGTTACTAGCCTGTACAATATGTTAACGAAAATGAGAGTCGCTTAAAAATGGTTTCATGGTATTAAATCTACCGTATGTAATGTAGGGAATAATCATATTACCAGATGGCATTCATGAAAACATTTTTGAGCGACTGTTTCAAAGTTCGTATATCTAATGAAGTCTCAAAACTCAAAAACGCAACGCTTAAATGCAGAAATATTTCACCATTCAATTATTTACTTTATATAGAATTAGCTCACAGAGAATCAGAAATTATTGTGTCAGGCGTGGTATGATACCCAAAAAAAATCCTGACATTTTGAAGTAAATTTACAACATTATTTTCAAGTCGATTTTGCCTAAAAATTGCATGAAATTTGACTCTGGAATAATGATTGATAGTGCAGTAGTGCAATGAACCTCAAAAACCTTGACATTTTTACAATGCTCAGTAATATCAAGGCTTTTTATCAAAGGACGCTGGCTAAAATTATGAACTTTTTGTTTGTTTACTTGTTTATTTTTTGTTTATGTAAACCATATAAAAATTTTAGGTTCATTGCATACATTGAGATATTAGTAATGAATATTCTTAGTTTGGATTGTATTCCAATTATAGTTTCAGAGCTAGAGCTGTTACAATAAGTGCCTTATAATCATGTATTTTGGGTGTGACTTGGTTACCATAGCAACAACAAATGCTAAAATTGGTATCAAATGATTTGTCTCAATAAGGATAATGATATGTGAAATAATAAAATGGTCTTTTCCTTGAAATTATTGTTATCTTGGGTATCATACCACCTTAACTGCGTCATATAGACAGTAGACTCTACTGATTTTTGCTGCCTTAACGAATTGATCTGGAAGGGCTTTGCCTGCTTAGGAGGGCTGATATATATTGCGGGGTCTTATTGTAAACATCTTTGAACACTGTCACTAGGATTTTATATAGTCCTTAAAAGGATTGGACTCGTGTGCAGGCGGTAATAGGAAGAATACGTAACAATACGAATGGATTACATTATGCCTGCCTGTTTTGCAGTGGATGCAAGCACTTGCCGACAGCGTAACCTGGGAATGGAGAACAATGCCATCAAAGATGATCAAATTAACAGTTCCAGTTCAAATAATCTTGCAAAGTATGCTCGTCTGAACTTGGACTTAAGATCGGATGTTGCTATAAGCTGCTGGACAACATCTGATCGGAGCTCGTGGCTTCAGGTCGACTTAAAATCGTCATATTACATTACTGCAGTTTTAACACAGGGCTGTGGATTTGACTTTAAACAGGAATGGGTCAAGAAATATAAAATAAGTTATGGAAATTCCCCAAGCGAAATGGTTGAGTACAAAGTTAATGGCACAGTTAAGGTAACTGTTTTGAGGCAGGCGACACAGGCGACCAAAAAAGGAAATTTACGCGCGCGAGAGCTCGGCGTGACTTGACGCGATAAAGGCACGATGTGATCATTGTGGTTATTGCGATTTAATTACAACGATTTATTAAGCTCAATATTCATTTTCTAGATATTAGGAGTTTTTGGCAGCTTACGAAAAGAGCACTTCTCGGAAAGTTAAAAGTTAGCACTTCTAGTGAAAGGCTAAAAGACTCTTCACGGTAACCGCGCCTTTGCATTGAAGTGTTGAAGCTAGACAAAGGTTGATCGTGCAAAAATAGAAACTTTCCTTAACATCTACAGACAATTATTCACAGGTTTCGATCATTGTATTGCACACTCAGTCAGCGGTTGTCTCGCTTCGATGAAAAGGCGTGGTTACTTTTCGAGATGGAAACTATTAAAAAGACTATTGACCATCTTAAAGGATCGGTTGAAAATACCAAGACCTACAACTCAAATATTACACACTTTGCACCTTCCGAGTCAATGATCAGCTACAAAGATGCTACCTTTTTAAGAATAAATAATYTACGGACAATTTACGCTTTTTTGCGTCGTACTCAAAGATCCGTGGGTATTTTTTAAGGGCACAAATTCAATGCTTTGTTAAATTTCATGACATGAATTTTTGTTTCTTTTTTAAGGAATTCGATGGAAATACCGACAGAAGCTCAGTGAAAGTGAACCATCTGAATCCCATTATAGTCACTCAAATGATTAGAATTTATCCGATTGACTTCAACAATAAGACCTCAATGAGAATAGAGCTACAAGGTTGTGATTCCCCCAATCCTGGTGAGTTTCATCAAAGCGGGCGTTGCATTCACATTATAACACGCACTGACTCTCTCCTGTTCCTAAGGGAACGCCTTTATAAAAGAGCGCTGGCATGCTGGTCGTTCTTTTTTAGCGGATAAAAAAAAGTTTCGATGTTTAATGTGAGTAAAGGCGGCTAAATACGAGGTACAAAAACCATCAACTTGGGGCGCAATATTGTTTCTGTTAAAGTTAAGTATCAAAGTTTCTCGTTTTTCATGCATGGTCAACTTGTTATGCAACAAAAATACATYGTGAAAAACGAGAAACACCGATGCTCAGCTTGAACAGAATCAATGTTTCGCGCCAAGTTGAGAGTTTTTGTTTCTCGTATTTAGCCGCCTTTAACGGAGTTTAATGCACWAGAAGTTAGTATTTTTTGGGGCTGAAACTTCATYGCTGTYACGCCTATCAAAACAATRCTATAGGTTAAAATACTCAGATTTCCTCTTCTTCTACGTAACGTTTTTAATTCCTCGCGCACGCATTGTAATTTCATTTTCCCGTGATAATGGACAATCTGGCCGAAAGCTCAGAAATTAAAAACCTTACATAGAAGAAGCAAATCTGAGTACTTAAACGATGAATGCTAAGTACGATAACATTTTAACATCAATACTATAGGCGCTTTTTGGGTCCTTTTTTTATTTTTGTATGCTTGAGTTAGAGTTCTGTTTCGATGTCAGGTTTCGAGTCACTTCAAATGATGAGCTGGGGTGCATGGAGTGAATGTAACGCTACTTGCAATGGCACTCGACAACGAAACCGCACATGCAATGTCGTCCCAGACTCACAGTGCCAAGGACTAGTTGACTATGAATCATGCGATCGTGTAGACTTTTGTAAAAACTTCAGCGACTGGTCAACATGGACTCCCTGTAGCAACTCATGTGGTCCTGGGGAACAGAGAAGATCTCGTATTTTTACTGGAAGTTACCAGGGTAAATCATGTTCTGGGAGTTTAACTATCATCCGTGATTGCAACGGTACTTGTGAGATAACCTATGGAAACTGGTCTGACTGGAGCAAATGTAATATGACKTGTGGAATTGGTTTTCAAGAACGAACAAGAAATTGCACAACATACAARCCTAACCAGACGTGTAGCAATGGAAGTACTGAAATTAGAATATGCAATTTGACTTATTCAGTTATAAGCCCACCTCTGTCATGGTCTCCATGGTCTCCATGGAGTGTTTGTAATGAAACGTGTGGTATTTATTCTCAAACACAGAGACGGAATACAACTGATCAATTATACCAAGAGATTTCTTCCAGAGAGTGTAAACCGTGCTTGCCTTGCATGTGTCCCTGGACCAATTGGACAGAATGTTCTTGTAATACGCCGAATCAAACGCGCACGATGAATTGTACTTATACTGAGGCGCGCCACCTTAATTGCTCTGGCACAACGAATGAAACAAGAMCATGCAATCTGACCTGTCCAGGTACTTATATTAGCTAGGTTTATCTATCCAGTGATTTGTTTGTTTGTTTGTTTGTTTTTTTCGTTTTTCGTTTTTTTTTTTGTTTTCGTTTTCGTGTTTGTTTTTGTTTGTATTTTGTCTTTGTTTGTCTTTGTTTTCCTGACATGAGGTATATCCYTTTTCCACTCTTCCCTTCTGCACGATATTCCATTTAACATGAGCAAGAGCAAAAATATATAATTGAAAACATWTGTAAATGATAAAAATAATAAAAGTAAAAAAACAGTTACAGTCAATTACAAAAAGATTATCAACGGTTATTTTTCTTCGTGACGACTTTGAAAAAAAACAATAACTGAAACGATGACTGTCAGAATGATTGTCAGACTGTCCAGTTTGTAATTTCAATTTATTTATTTACAGTACATGGGAATTTTACTAATTGGAGTAACTGGACATCATGTTCTGTAACTTGTGGCAATGGTACACAATATCGAAATCGCTCTTGCTCTAAACCACCACCATCTAATGGAGGAAATCCTTGCTCTGGAAACAGCAACGAGACACGKACCTGCACCATTCGGCCATGTCCAGGTAACGATTAAAGAACCCCCAGTCGTACAATAGTCTCCTTCACGGTTCCCTGCGCCATCTTGAAAGGTAGCCGTACCTTTGCATCGAAGCGAGACGACATTTGAGCGTGCAATGATAGAAACCTTCTTTCAAGAGACGAGAGTTATTCACAAGCATCTAACATTGCACGCTCAATAGTTGTCTCACTTCGATGTAAAGGCACGGGCCACCTTTCAAGATGGCGCAGGGAACCGTGAAGGAGACTATTTGAAATTTTCTATTAGAAAAGCGAATTTAATTGCGTTTATTTCTCACTATCTTTCTTATTTGCAGTCGATGGTAATTTTACCAATTGGAGCAACTGGACATCGTGTTCTGCAACTTGTGGCAATGGGACCCAACACCGAAACCGCTCTTGCACCAATCCACTACCTGCTCATGGTGGAAATAACTGCACTGGACATACCAACGAAACAAAGTTTTGTAATATTCAATTATGTCCAGGTAAGGGGTCCTTTACCTTATAATTTAATATATAATTTACCTTTTAGATAATTAGTTACCTCACTGGATAAAATTTATGCTAAGTTGCATTTTAAATACGCTGGCCAAGCAGTGGTGTAATTAGTAATTTTTGCTTAGATTTCCTTAGATTGCCAGATCACTCCATATCTTTTTGTATAGTTTAAAACACGATTTCGAGTATTTTAAACGGCTTGAAAAAACTCCAACACTAATATGAAACCACATTGAAACTTATAATGTAAATTAGTATAAACATATTAATGGTCGATCACTCATACTGCGCTGTGATTGGCTACTCTACTAATGGTCTAATTTGTGATAGACCACTCGCGGGAAAACAATCTCATTAATAAATTATTTTAAGGACATTTCAAATTGTTTTCATTATCTGACCGATTAGTATGTTTATACTAAAACAATTAGACCTCTCGGCCTCGTGGACTACGAGCTGATAGCCCATTCGGCCTCGCGGACTCGGCCTCATGGGCTATTAGCTCGTAGTCCACTCGACCTCGAGGTCTAATTGTGAAATAGTGCTGATGGCTGTTTTTTGCATGTTTTACTGCAATCGGTTGACATCCTGCATTGGTCAATAATCAGGTATCAAACCTGAGACCTTTGCTAGGGTCATGGACCTTTATATCTGATAAAGGTCACCCTTATTAGTATTCTTTATATAAAGAATACTAATAAGGAGTGTTTTATCAGATATAAAGGTCCATGCATGTGATCAAATAGGCTCATTCTATTTGGCTAATAACTATCCCCTTATTCTTTATGGATGGAGATATTGTAAGACTGATTTGACCTTAAAACCGACCGAAAGAAGACGATTGCGAATGGATGTTTGAAGTCACCTCATTTTTCATATATGAAAATTCTATAGCACGCCGGACATGAAGACTGTCGGACCATGGGGTATTAACATTGACTTTCTTATTTGCAGTCGACGGTAATTTTACTAATTGGAGCAACTGGACRTCGTGTTCTGTAACTTGTGATAAAGGAACCAAACATCGAAATCGTTCTTGCACAAAACCACCACCTGCCCATGGAGGGAACAATTGTACTGGGCCTTACAACGAAACACAGAGTTGTGAAATCAAACCATGTTCAGGTAAAGGACTCTTTTACTTGATTATAATGATTCCTATTAGGTTGTTTTTCAATAACCCTACTGTATCACTTGTCAAGGCAAGTAACTTATACCAATAAAGCAGGTCCGGGTTGCTCAAAGCCCAATTAGTGCTAATCCTGGGTAAAACCTTAGAAAACCTATGGAGTTAACCCTGAATAAACTCTTTTAGCGATCTCTTTTAGGCTTTGTTAGCCTCAAAACCATGTAATAAATTCTTTTATTCACAACAGCCCGTGCAAATGCAAGAGATTCGTGAGTATAGAAGACAATCGGAATAGTTTGAAATCTCACGAGTTTTGTCTACATTTCTGAATATTTTAGCACACAATTTGAGGCTAACACAGCGTAAAAGAGATCGCGAAACTCAACTATTAACGCTAATCGGGCTGTGGGCAACTTAGCACAGAGGTGGATTTAGTTTGTTCCTTAGAATTGCTTCAGACTGCTTGATAACTCCATATGTTTTTGGCCATTAGCAACGTCTTAGTCCTATCAAGAAATGGAAGAAAGTCCTTTTCAACTAATTTTCAAATGCATGTTGTGCATACACTTATTTCAAAAAACGTTGTCGGRGAGAACGGCGAGCGGCGATTGTYGATTGSTTATACTGTTTTGACAAACAATTTTTCACTTATTGGATTTACCTTGCGTTAAAATCGAGACTAATTATTGAAGCCAATGTTTACCACAGACCATCTTACAGTATAAATCAGTTGTTATTTCTCATCGAGTACTAAAACCCATGGCTACTTTCGGTCGTGCAATCGCCGTTCGACAATTGACATTCGCCATTTTATTTGACAACCTTTTTTGAAATAGGTGTATACTAGTGCAATGTTCCATTTCTCAATGACATTGGCGCTTTGTACCTTGTACCTTGTGTCGAAGAAGGCTAAAACGGTGTAGCGATATTAATGTTTTTGGATCGTTTCTCTGGTGTTTCAGACTGCAGCTGCAGTGTGTGTGGGCTTCTCATTTAATGCTATTCCTATAGAGTTCCTGACAAAGGATTTCACAAAGAATCTCTCAGTTCTTTTCCCTTAATTTCTATATGACGTTCGCCATATTGATACTTGTAATAATACCACGRTTCATTTCACTTAAACAAACCTTACGTCGTTAGCTGAAAAGAACTGAAAAACCGGAATCTGGAGCCTTAACCAAAGACTCTTATTATTTTATATTTATATTTTTCTTATGATGAAAAGCGAATTTAATTGCCTTTATTTCTATATCATCTTTCTTATTTGCAGTCGATGGTAATTTTACCAATTGGAGCAATTGGACATCGTGTTCTGTAACTTGTGGTAATGGGACCCAACACCGAAACCGCTCTTGCACCAATCCACTACCTGCTCATGGTGGAAATAACTGCACTGGGCATACCAACGAAACAAAGATTTGTCAAATCGCACCTTGTCCAGGTACACAACTTTGACGATATATTTTGAGAAAATTAAAAGACTTATTCATATTATGTGATATTTAGTGAATGGTAGCTTCTCATCATGGACCTTTTGGACTCAGTGTACACTGACATGTGGTAACGGAACACAAGAGCGCATGCGCACGTGCACAAATCCAGCCCCAGCCCACGGAGGAAAGAATTGCAGTGGTCATGTTAGAGAAAAACGGAACTGCAACACAGAGTCCTGCCCAAGTAGGTGTCAAGTATTATATTTTATGTTTCTAAGTATTATATTTTATGTTCTCAAGTTTAAAATCATCTACTTATCGTAAACAAAACAAAACAACAACAAAAAAATCAAAAAATAACGCATCATACTTTGTTGTACAAAATTGCTTTGTTAAATACCGTTAACTCTCTTTAAACGACCACTCTAGTAAGCGACCATCTCCCGTAAACGACCACCTTTTAATTTCCCATTTTGTTCAGTTTCCCATATAAACTCTGTAAAAAAAACTTTCTCGCAAGCGACCATCTCTCGTATAAAGCGACCACTTTTTCCTGATCCCGAGGTGGTCGTTTACGAGAGAGTTGAATGTATTGTTTATAGGTCATTTGATGATACTAGACAACTCTCTCGTAAACGACCACCTCAGGATCAGTAAAAAGTGGTCCAGTCGCTTACGAGAGATGGTCGCTTACGAGAGAGTTTTATTTTACAGAGTTTATATGGGAAATAAATAAAACGGGAAATTTAAAAGGTGTTCGTTTACGGGCGATGGTCGCTTACTAGAGTGGTCGTTTAAAGAGAGTTAACTGTACTTAAATGTATTTATGTAGAAATTCCTGTCGATGGAGGCTTTGCGTCATGGGGTGATTGGTCAAAGTGTACTTTGACGTGCGACACGGGGTCTCAGCATCGAGAGCGCACTTGCACTGAACCTCCACCTGCCAATAATGGAGATAATTGCACCGGTGAATTTATAGAGAAGAAAATATGTAATACCAACAAGTGCCCAAGTAAGTACTACAATTTATCATATAATTATCTATGAAATATATTTCTCCATTACGTAAAGTTGTCCTATCATATAATTATCTATGAAGTGCCTATATTTCTCCATTTCGTAAAGTTGATATTTTCACTAGTGAAAATAACACATTCGAGGTTTCTCTATATAGTAAAAGCAAGAAAAAAGGTATTTTACAGCATAATGTGCTTTCATATGTAATTATATGATAAACAGAATATTACATGGTCTCTTGGATACACGAATTTTATCTTCTAGTGTTGAAAACTAACTATTTAGATTTTCTTTCATGGTCATAGTGTAAGCACTCTATACATAATATATATATCAAAACACATTCTTTGAAAACTCTTCTTTAGGATACAATATAAATGAGAGCATCGTTTTTCAATGTAAACATACTGTGACGTCATAAGGAAACAGGTCAACTTGCTTGAGGAGGACAATAGTCTTCTTCACGGTCACCTGCGCCATCTTGAAAGGTAGCCGTGCCTTTGCATCGAAGCGTGACGACCGTTGAGCGTGCAATGATAGAAACCTTCTTTCACACCTACAGACAATTATTCACAGGTTTCTATCATTGCATGCTCAACGGTTGTCTCGCTTTGATGTAAACACACGGCTACCTTTCAAGATGGCGCAGGTAACCGTGAAGGAGACTATTTACTGATGATTTCTTATAATGTTAGTTGATGGAAAGTGGACGACCTGGTCAGCCTGGTCAGACTGCAATAGACCTTGTGGGGATGGGTCCAACAATAGAACAAGAACCTGTTCTAGCCCTTCTCCGCAATATGGCGGAAAAGATTGTGTAGGGAATAACAGCGAATCGAGGATTTGTCACACAGGCAAATCATGTCCAGGTACGCATGAAAAGTGCCAGCGAAAGGTTGGAACTCCACCCTGATATGGGTGGTAAAATGTTGGACAGCACCTTTGATTGACACATCATTTCACAAGCTGATGTAATGATAATCTTTAACGACTTTATTTCTGGGAGTTGATTTAATCCTAACAAGGGAGGTCAATTTAATATGCATAGTGGATCCTTAAAAGGGAGTTAAATCTACTCCTACAACAAGATTAATTTAAACTCTGTCAACAGTGCCTTTAAATCCCCCTAGACTGAGCTACCTAGTGACAACAAGAGTAGCTGCAACGGCTCTACCATGAATGATTTTAGCTTCCCCTAGAGTTAAAGTAACTCCAGAAAAGAGTAACTTGAACTCTACCAAGAATGATTTTAACTCGATCCCACTAGAATAAAAGTAACTTCAGAAAAGGAGTCATTCTGTACCGTAACTCAATTCATTATCCGCATTATTTCTTCGACAGCTGCCAAGATATCTGTTATTGCTAGATTCACAGACGAGACTTTTAGTAATAAGCTCAAAACCCGTGGGAGCAAAGAATGGAAAAACCTTAGAGACAAAATACTTGAAAATGTAAGTAATAAACTGATCAATATTCAGTATTCAGAAAGTATTGATTGCTTAATTTTCAACCGAGTTTTGATGGTCACTATCCATTTCTCCGTAAAAAGCAGCAGTCACGTACTATATAGGATTCCATCGATTTCATATTTTTTTCATTTTGTTTTATTTAATTATCATTTTAATTTTACATCTACGTACGTCGATGGCAACAATGTAAGTATTAACCATTCTACATTACGTTTTCTTTAATAGGTAAAGGCATTATATGTGGACCAAAGTATTGTGGAAGGCATTGATGTAAAATCTTTTAGGTAAAACCAGGAATATCACAGCCCGCCCAGGCTAAAAAATTGTAGCCTTTTATAGCGTCGTGAGTTTGAGCGGCACTGAAATAGAATGTTACTTTATTCATACTATTTCCTTTTTCTTTCTTTCTTTTTTCTAGTTTTTTATTTTTTCTTTTATTTATTTTTTGTTAATTGTAGAAAAATTGATGTTTTTAAAAAGCCTTTTGATTTTTATAAAGGCGAAAAAATGATTTTCGTGAAGCTCGAACTTGCGTAACTCGTTGGAACTTGTTCTAACTCAATCTCTTCGTATGCGCATGCCTGATCTACAAGTTCGTGATTGGTTAAATAGAGAAATATCACAACCAATCAGATGTCTTGTGTAGTTGGCTATATCACAGTTTACCAACTGCATATATTCTGTTTACAGCAATGGTAGTGTTGTATCGAACTTTGATATAAACTTCAAAAAAATGGATTCCACGCAACTGATTATTCTTCAAGAAAGTATTGAGGTTGACAAGATGCTGAATAACATGTCACTGCAGACACCCACGATCAACGCAACGAAAGGTAATGGTTGAGCTGCATGTGGTAATGAATTTATGAGTGAATGGTTGGGCTGAATTTATGTGTGAATGGTTGGGCTGCATGTGGTTATKAATTTRTGAGTGAATGGTTGGGCTGCATGYGGTTATGAAGATATAAGTGAAGAAATAATAAATATATTTTCCATTTCCAAAATAGCTGGAAACTGGGATGAGTTCGACTTTCAAAGTTCTTCTTTATATTAAGAATACTAATAAGGAGCATGGATGTTGAGCATGGATGGCCGAGCGGTTAAAACGCCGGTCTATCACCGCTGTGGTCCTGGTTCGATTCCCGGTCCGGGACTATATGCGATTTGAGTTTGTAGGCTGGTTCTCTTCCTTGCTCCGACGGTTTTTCTCCAGGTCTGCTGGTTTTCCTCCCTCAGTCAAAAAACTAGCTGTGAGGAGTGTCGTGTAGTAAAATAATGAATGTTGAGGTAGTGAGTGTGAGTGAATATATAGAGGGAAACAAGTGTATTAGTCTAGAGACTATTACGTGCTACCCTCTCTTTTATTTAGAGTTTTATCAGATATAACGGTCCATGCATGTGACCAAATGGGTTCATTCTATTGGCCTAATAACTCATTAATTATGTATGAGTTTTTAATGTTGAAATATTGGTCAACAGCCGAAAATGTTAACCTAAATTTCCCTTATCAATAGTTCCAAATGCAAGACCAAGCGTCACTTTAAAAGTCCTCTCCTCGACGTCTATACACGCCAATTGGACCATGATTAACAAATCTGAGTATAACAGTCAAAAACTAAAGGGATATAGTGTGTTCTATAAAGAGAATTCGCAGGAGAAATACTCGCTAAACCAGATGATGGCTTTCSAATCACCGTCGATCCTCAATGCGACTATCAAAGAACTAAAGAAATACACTCACTATGCACTCAGAGTACTTGCTTATACTGACAATGGAAATGGGATTGCTAGTGATCCCGTCCTTTTTAGAACTGACGAGGATGGTTAGTATTCGACAAAATCRAATTCAACGAAAAAAAATCGAATTCGATAAAATCGAATCATTAGACAAAATTGAATCGAGTCGAAATCGAATTGAAGAAGAATATACACCTAATTACACAAACGTTGTCCAAGAAAAAAGAACTTTTACTATTTAGGAATTAATTAAAGTACAAAAGAAAGTGTTCGGCTTCAGTGGTCATRTTTTGCCTTTTTATGTATTCTTAATTTCCTAAATTCCTAAATCTCAGGACAACGTTTTCGTAAMTAGGTGTATCTTGATGAATGGGCTTTTCATATTCTACTTCGATTTGTCTTTTTTTTTTCGATTTCGTCGTTAATAATTCTCTTCTTGATCTTGATCGTTTGCTTTCTCCATTCAGTTCCATCTAGAAGTCCAGAAGACTTTACCGTCTCACCCACCAGCTCCACGGCTCTCATGACGAAATGGAAGACTATCCCTAATGAATACCGCCACGGTAAACTTCTTGGTTATCGAATTGTCGCATTGAACACGAAGACAGGAGCCAAAAAGACCTATGAACCAGGCCAACATAGATACGACACAGATATAACGGGTCTTGACAAGTTTGCTGAATATTCTGTGACCATATGTGGGTTTACTTCGAAAGGTTGTGGATTTACAGCTCAGCAGACCACGTCAACTTTAGAAGATTGTGAGTTTTTTCAAAGAGATGGATCACWAATGATATAAATGGTATTCTTCACGGTTTCTTGGGCCAACTTGAAAGGCTATCTTTGTATTAAAGGCCGATTTAGACGACACAACTTTTGCTTACAACCGTCGCATGCAACCTGCTAAGTCATCCTTACGACATGGCTACAACTGTCGTAGGGATTTTAAACAATTGCTTAATAGCCTCACAACAGTTGTAGCCATGTCGTAAGGATGACTTACGCAGGTCGCATGCGATAGTGGTGGGGAAAAGTTGTGTCGTCTAAATCGGCTTTTATATAGCGAGACGATCGTTGAGCTTGCATCTATAAGTGTAAACGAAGGTTTCTATCATTTTGCGCTACTGTTGTCTCGGTCCGCCGGGTTCCAAAGCACAGCTACCTTTCAAGATGGAGCAAGGAACAGTGTAGAAGATTCTCGCTTGTGACATGAAGGGAATTTTTTGGAGATAGAAAAAAGATTGTTTGCTCTTTTGGGAGCTAGAATCCTTTTTGTGCCTAACAGATTTCCGTGAACTGCAGGGGTCTATAACATGAAAACATTYGCGGAATATTATAATTTATAAAATTTTTGATATATAACGCGCGCTCGACGGCTGACGACCGTGTTTATATCAGAGGACAGAGACATGGCTTAACGGCAAAATTTGTTTTTCGCTCGAAAATCGCAGAAAAGATTTATAAAAGATCCTATAAAACGGCCGCTTGCGTATCTGTCCTCTGATATAAGCACGGTGGGAGTTGAAAAGCACTCGAGAAGCAAGAAAACACTCGCTACGCTCGTGTTTTTAAGCTTGCTTCTCTCGTATTTTTCAATTCCCACCCTGTTTATATCAGAGGACAGAGACACTTGCGCCATTTTATATTTCTTAAATATAAATTTGATCATAACGGCTGTATTTAAAGCTTTACATTCCAATGCTTTGAACTGATACTGCTATGCTATCATTGAATTTTAGTGCCATCAATGCCACCTAAAGATGCAGTCTCTACCAGTTTCCTAAGTACCACTGAAATCGAGATCAGATGGGCACCAGTTCCCCACGAAGGAAGAAACGGAATAATACGCGAATACATCATCACTTATAATCTTTATAGTCAAGGTCAATCCCGCGTATTTGAAACTCAARTCCTCAAAAWGTTTGTCAAGCCTTCCGTGYATAARCTCAAGATTGGTGGACTTAAGCCTTATTCGAAGTATGAGTTCCGTATCGCCGCTCGAAATACGAGAGGAGTGGGTCCCTTTCAGAAATTCTATGGAGGTAATTGAAAGTCCATGATTAATTTTAAAAAATTTGCTGACGAAGCCTTGATATCATTTCGGGCGGACGTTCGTCTTAGAGGGTAATTTCAGATTCAAAGGTTACAGGTGCATTAAAGCACTTTCCTCTTGTTATAACTATCAATTCAAATCATTTGAACTGTATTTCGTATAAACATTTCTTCACAAAAAGAATCAAAAGACACATGTTAATCCATGTTTTTGGAACGTTGTATGCCCTTTTAAAACACACTCTACTCCAGCTTCACTGAGATTTAGCACAAAAATCTCGAGCAATCCAAGAGCGACTTTCAAAAACGGCGGACTGCAAAGTTTTGAACATTTTATGACGTCAAGAGTGTGTCAATAAGAGGATATACAACGAAAAAACGTGTGCAACTTTGTTTTGTTTTTTTTTTTGCCACATTTTTAGTCTAAAAATTAGCGTAAAATCATTGTTTTCTTTCAATTGAGCGCGCGCGCGAGACGTGATGTTGTCAGTACAGTGTGCATGTTCTCTTRTTGACACACTCTAATCAGCCAATCAGCGCGCGAGAATTTGCACAAGTTTGGTTAAAAAAAAGTATTTATAAGTCTTCTTTTTTATTTGTTATTATCATTATTTATTTGTTATCATCATTATTTGTTACCGTAGAAACCTGCAGATGTCCAAAAGAAATCTTCTCAAACTATTGGTTCATCACTCCTTACTTCAACAGCACCTCCTCGGGACAGGTGACCGGTATTTTCTCGCATATAGTTGAAAAAATGCTTAAATGGTCTTGTGGTGACTGTAAAAACGGCCATAGAGAAACGAAGGTAAACTTTCAGAAGGATGGTAACGGCTCAAAGGCGCTGAARAAAAGYATTCTTGATGTAGCGGGAAATGTCGATAATGGCGCTCAAATAAGCTTTCCGATTAATGGCAATAAAGATATGAACAGGGTAAGTGCGCTAATCCCTTTTAGAGATCTCTTTTACACGATGTTAGCCTCAAAGCTATGTAAGATATAGAGGATATTACATSGGCGCGCGGAAATACATATTTTATCTTCGAGTGTTGAAAAGATCTCTCTAATGGAGAAATTTCTTTCTCATATACTTATTTATGAAATATCTRTATTTCTCTCTTCCGAAAAGTTGTTATTTTCATTAGTGACACATTTGAGTTTTCAGTAGAAAAAGTTATTTTACGACATAATTTGCTTTTTAAATATAATTTTAAGCTACGCTCACTCGTGAGAGAACTTTTCAACACTCGAAGATWAAATCCATATCTCCGCACGCTTCATGCAATATCCTCTATTTATTCAGTAACAGCACGTGCAAATACAAGAGATCCGTGGGTATAGAAGACAATGAAAATAATCTGAAATCTCACGAGTCGTATCTAAACTTCGTGTATTTTAAACACAATTGAGKCTAACACAGTGCGAAAGAAAACTAAACTATTTGATCCTGATATTTGATCCTGTGTATTCAACATTGTCTGAAATAGTTATGTAAAAAGATAAATTTATCACCGTAAAAAAGTATGTGAAATAACTTACTGACGTTTCGGACGTTAATCCTTCGTCGGAGTAAAAGTGATATGAAAATAGGTGGTTAATTGTTTCACATACTTTTTTTACGGTGTTAAATTTATCTTTATACATAACTGTTTCTTTAGAAACACCGACGCAGCTCACACTAGTTTACCGCTAGTTCCCACCATTGTCTGAAATAACTTAACTCTAATTTACACTGTTTATTTATTTCTACAGATTTACGGAAATCAAGTGTTCATTCCCCTGGTTGAGTCCCCTGGTGTTGCSTACCTTGTTATCCCTGTTCAGTCAAAATCTACGGCAATGAATGTTGTCAACTCTATAATCGGCTCCATCCCGTTCTTGTTATTCTCAATGGGTCTAGCTTACTTAGCTGGAGTAATTATTTGGTTTCTGGTACGTGAAAGCAATTTATGGKCCCTTTCTGAGATKGCAGKTTGYATTGYATTGTRGYCTAGATTCGGTACAAACATCTTTTGTTCATGCTGCCAAATGTTTTTTGTACTGAAATTAGACCGCAATGCACCATGGTTTTGTATTTCAGAAAAGGTCTATGGCACTAGAATCGAAAAAAATCCATATTCAACTGCGCGTGTCTAGTATCTATATACTTGTCCGAAATCTATTTATTTCCCATTTCATATGCAGTATATTTMTTTCGCTATTTTATTGTAATTGTTCTCATTTTCTTTAATTTCCCTGCAAATGTCCCATTCATTTTTCCAATTTCTATTGACTCTAACATCTACGAACCAATGCAGGAGTTATCTTCTGTCGGTAGTTCCTCAATCYAGGGTCTTCAAGGATCATTCAACTGTTTTTAAAATTCTTCTTTGAATCAGGGTTCGTATACGGGTTTTGGAAAGTTTTGGAAATCAAATTTCCTTTTTCCAGGACCTGAAAAGTTTTGGAAAAACTATTTTTTAAACATTAAGCTATTGAAACTTTTAGATTTTTTCTAAACATCCCACCTTGAAAGAAAGGTTTCTGTTATCAATTTGATAAAAAAGGCCGATTTTTCGCTCAATAAATTCATCTTCTGACAATTTGGTCGTCAGATTTACCTTTGAGAGCACATTTAATRCCAATCCAGTTGATTAAGTGTACAGCTGTTTTCTTCAAGATCGACCAACACATGGACAGAATTGTATTTTATATGTTTTGGAAATTTAGGTTGATGGCTGTGGGAAAGTTTTGGAACTGATTTTAGCTCTGGAATCTGTACGAACCCTGTTATATTCTATTTTATCCTTTGTTTATTTTTTTTGTTTTTGTTCTTTTTGTCCAGGATGCTCGTCACACCGAGTCAGTATTCCCCCGCAAGTTTTCTTTAGGGGTATTTGAAGGCTTGTGGTGGTCTTTCATCAGCATGACTACAGTTGGGTAAGTATTGAYWACAGCACTCTCAGGAAACATTGAATACTGAGAAAAGTGTATTCCAAGAATGCAATGCATTGTTCTTTAAGCAATAAACGATAGCTTGAAGGGGTTTATTGGCGAAATAAACMGCGCGGGATGGCTGGAAGAACACGACAGAAGATCAGTGAAACACGAGCCGTCAGGCGAGTAATTTACCTTTTCGAGTGTTCTCCCAACCATCCCAAGCGGTTTATTTCGCCAGCAAACCCCTTCAATCTATCGTTTATTGCTTTTATATTATAGCCGGCATCCGCCATTTAGACTCAAAAGTCTTTCAAGACAGCAGGCTGGTTTACAGGCGAACTAAACCATAGCTTTTCTCATGAAATCCGCCAATCAGCGCGCGTGTTAGAATTGAGCTATAATATAAATTAAACTTCACTTTAGTAGCGCTACAAAATAGCAATTCTAAACTTTATTGATTTGTTAACTGTATACAACTAGTACAGACCCTACCACACGACAAAAAGCCCATTTTCAGCGGCGGTAGAATGACCAACATGCTTTTCGGTCTTGGAATACACTATCTCATGTACTGAAATAGCGATGTATTTAAACTTATTTCTTGTAAGAAATCACTTTTTTAGAGGCTTTAAAGGTTTTTGTAGAAAAAGCATTGCTGCTATAAAACTATAGAGTGATCGCACTTACGCCGTGCACTGCAACTGTATAGAATAAATAGTGTTATTTAGTTACATTTAGTATATCGTGCATGCGGCACGCAAATGAAATTGAATTGATACAAATGAAGCATTCAATACCGTCTTACTTCAGGTCCACTTTTAGTACAAATTAGTACTACTTAGATTTTGTACAGTTGCACGGTTTAAGTGCGATCACTCTAGCTATACTATTGTTGAAAAGTCTAGTAATTCAATGTTTACAGATATGGCGATCGCTCTCCAGTGTCCTTCCTGTCGCGGTGGTTTGCAATTATATGGACGCTTTATGGCATGACCCTTGTATCTATCCTRACCAGCACAATGTCGTCCTCTTTAACAACCGTTTCGTTACAAACACGAACGTCAATCTACGGTACTCAAGTAAGTATTTGATACTTCTATTGACCATATGAAAAACTAGCAGAAGGATGGTAATGATCACCCTAAATGGTCTATGCTTTAAAAAATCAGTTTTCACCACAAGAAAGAGTATATCTAAACTAATAAAATTGGCGAAATTTTAGATTCAAATGTTGCATTAGAGGTACGAGCATTTAAAATGTACMCAAAACGTGAAAACGAGGCTTATAAGGCCTCAACACTTGAAATTTTCACTCTCAAACTTTTGCAATTTCAATCACCTGTAATTTCTGGTCCTTTTAAAAATGTTAGGGCATTGAAACTTTCAGATCTTATTCATTATAATATGTTCTTTCAATGGGTAGTAATGATGTGTATTAAACAACTTTTAAACTGTGGCGTTATGTAAGCCACGCCCTTTTTCATATGGTCTATGGTCCAGGGCCGGGTTGCTCAAAGTCCGGTTAGTGCTAATAACGGGTTTAACTCTTAAAAACCTTTGGAGGGAACTCTGGATTAACGCTAATCAGACTTGACTTGACTCAAAATGATTTTATCGGATGCAAGGCCCAAAGTTACAGTAGTATAGTATTGGCCGATAACAAAACGAAAAAGGGACTGGGTACGAACTTCCAAATCTAATTAAATAATGGTTCCAGAAAGAATAATCATGTGAAAGAGCACCTTATAAAAGGCTTACTGACTAAGTTTCATGATATTTGAACTTATAGCAATAAAGTTATGGACATTCAAACCATGTCAAAATTACAAAGAAATGTATGGTGTCCAGCCAAAGCGTCCAGCCAAACATACATTCTTTGTAATTTTCGAAATTTTTGAAAAATTATATTCCCAATTCTAATGACTTAAACTTGTTCAAACTTTAAAGTTTAGCTAATTTATATGTGCTTTATCTATCAACAACAGATTTCTGTAAGATTGTAGCACTTTTAAAATATTCAGTCCCAGGCCCCTGCTCGTTTTGTTATCGGCTAATTCATGGCTACACCTACCCTGGTTATTGTTGATTATGGATTCATTATATTTGACCCTATTTAGTGGCGGATCCGGGGGGAGGTTCATTTGGTGCATCACACCGCACATGGCTGGTTTCTCTATATAAAGTCATTCCTCAGTAATAATGCACCCCCCGGGTTACTCCCTTGTGAGTGGTGGAAGAATTTCTCCCATTAATACAGGCCAGTTTCTAATTCTCTTTTGTGCAAACTTAGATTCAATAAAGCATAAATTGTTTATTGTCTTTTGTACGCAGAGTGTTTGCATTACAATAGATTCTCTGCCGAATAAATAGAGGATATTACATGGGCGCGCGGAGATACGGATTTTATCTTCGAGTGCTGAAAAGATCTCTCACGAGTGATCGTAGCGATTTTCAATACGACAAGATAAAATTCGTATCTCCAAGCGACCATGTAATATTCTATTTATCATATAATTGTATATGAAAGCAAATTATGTCGTAAAATGGCTTTTATCTTACTTCCGCTATATAGAGAAACCCTGAATGTGTTATTTTAACTAGTTTACGAAATGGAGAAATATACATGATATAGGTATTTCATAGATAATTATATGATAAAAGAATGTATTACATGCTTTCGATGTTAAGACTGCAGAAATAAGATCTCGAAACTGGAGTATTTGTATATTAAACCCTTTTAGATGTGTATTTTATGTATTGCCCTTTTTACAGATTGCCGCCATTCAGAATTCATCCGAACACCGCATTGGGATCCTAAAAAATGGAAAAATCAACCAAGGTAAGGGCTATYACAGATTGTTTTACATTTGAAATAAAAAACCTCGTTAATCCGGACATCGAAAAGTGACCGTATTAAGCGGGTAGTCGTCAGGCGTCTTTCCACTGTACACAGTCAACTCTCGCATTACGGACACCCCGCTACAACGGACACCTCGATATTACGGACAGTAAAATATTGAATACCGGCGAAAAATACAGAGAAATGACTGAAAGTAACTCTCGTCACTACGGACTCGCTACTACGAACACTAAATTACGGTCCCGCGGGTGTCCGTAATAGCGAGAGTTCACTGTATGTAGATCTATATGTGGTTATTTATCACAATCGAATGTCCAATATCGGATAATCCTCAATATTATGCGAACTGAACTACCAAGAAATCGACAATAGTCTCCTAGTCAAGGTTACCTGTACCATTCTGAAAGGTAGCCGTACCTTTGCATCGAAGCGAGACAACCGTTGAGCATGCAATGATAGATACCTGTGAATAATCGTCTGTAGGTGTGAAAGAAGGTTTCTATCATTGCACGCTCAACGGTCGTCTCGCTTCGATGCAAAGGTACGGCGACCTTTCAAGATGGCGCAGGGAACCGTTATGAAGACAATTTGTGTACCTAACAACACAATGCGATAAGTACTGAAAATCACTAATAATGTTTATTTTTTTCTAAACCGCAGTAACCCAGTACCATTCAGTTTCTGATATCCTAGATGCTCTGAATGCTCATGAAGTAAGGGGTGCTTTGATAGATACTTATGTYGTTGCTGCCAAGTCGCAAAAATTCACAGACGCAGGTAAATAAAATCCAGAATTTGGGGAGAAAAAACGTCTCTTAGAATTGCTCTGGTACAAAATTTGGAGGTTTTAGGCATGTTTATGGGATGTTTTTTGTGGAGAGGGGAGGGCAGGACAGGACAGGGCAGAACAGGGCAGGAAACACATATTGAACAGCTTAAAAATTCACATATTTCAATTTCTTTTACTTCATACATTTATTAAATTTTTACAAAATCTTTTGGGGGCACCTCTGCCAACTCCCCCCTCACCCTTACGCTAGTCAACCACTTGGAATCAACTGCGCATTTGTGCGAATTTATTTTGATAGTATAAGTTTCATTGCTTTCAAAGTTGTACAGTTATTTTGCAAAAAAAGAAAAGAGCTTTTCCTTTATTTTTSTCCATATCCTACTTATTCTCATTGGAACCTCGTTAAGCTCAATGGTTTGTGAATAAGTCTTGGTTWTATTTCAAGGGATAMGTGTGGCAAAGATGCTTGATCGACCGTTTGGCTACGGTCTCGYCCTRTCATCAGAAATTGCCAACTTGGAGTCAGAGTGTYTTCAGTACCTWCACACAAATGCAGAGTCCATTAGTCGACTTATTGAAATAAGTACACAAAAACTGACGGTAAGTTGGATGGATGTATGTGTAATCATTACTTCTCGTACCCAGCGAGCAGAGTGTATTTCCTTACCTCAATAAAAATTAATAATTATTTTCCTTCGCGAATTTTTATTGAGGTGAGGAAATACACTCTGCGAGCAGGGTATACTTCTCGTTCAGTGACTCAGGAAGCAAGAAAGGGAGGATGGGGGAGGGGGGGGAGGAAGGAATGAAGGAAGGAGTGACGAGAGGGAGGAAGAGAGGGAAGCAAGGGAGGAAAAGAATAATGAACAAAAAGAAGAGAAAAGAAAGGAAGTAAGGAAAACCAAGGAAGGAAGGAAGGAAGGAAGATAGAGGAAAGGACGAATAGAGGGAGGTTAACAAGGAAGGAGGCATAATGATTAGGGAGCAAGCATAGGGGAACAAACGAAGGAGAAAAGAGAAGTAGTTAAAAAAGTGAGCAAGGAGGGAAGGAAGGAAAAAAAGAAAGAAAGAGCTAAAGGTGTGAAAAGAGGGGATATACGAAGAAATTAGGAAGAAAAGAAACAAAGAAAGTAAGACGTTAATGAAGTAAGCAGCTAAGAAGTAAAGAAAGTAAGACAGGTTAGAAACAAAGCAATAMTGAKTTAAAGTGCACRTGACACCTTTTAGAAATTCACATTTATCCGAAAGGTAACACGCTGCCAAGTACGTCTGTGAAGAAAGATTTTGAATTGTAGTTTCTGAGCTATAGACATTTGAAAATTGAAAATGCAAATGAAGTGACGTCAGCTAAGGAATTGATCCAGACTTTTTAGATTGTTTGTGTTATGTTGAAGAGCTCAAATCATCAATCATATTATTGATAAGTGAGAGCTGCAGAAAATGCTGTTTTCAATGTAACAAAAAAGAATAACGTCCTCTTTCATGATTTTGTATATTAAATCATTCCTTAGTAGACGTCACTTCATTTGCATTTTCTAAGTTTCATTTGTGCATACACCTACTTGCAGAAACGTTGTCATAGAAAATAGAACATTCGAATTTAGTAAAAAGGAATAAATTAAAACAAAACAAAAGAAAGCGTTCAGCCTCAGTGACCTTCTTTTGTTTTTATAATTTATTCATTTTTACTAAAATACAAATGTCCTATTTTTTTATGACAACGTTTTAGYAAGTAGGTGTAACTTAGAAAATACAATTTAAAATCAATTTCTTTCTTCACAGATGTACTTAGCAGCATTTTCTCTTTTGGATGAGAATGAATTTCTAATGGTGTCATGTGCACTTTAAGGAGCGTACGTACTAAGAGTTAACTTACGTATCATAAAACAGCTGTAATCCTTGATATATTTGTAGGTTCCATCTCTTTCTGAAAGTAATACGAAGGACACCAAGCTGTTTGACGCTTCATCTCATCTTTTTCAAAACACATTGATATTCGTRACCAGTATGCTTGGACTTGCAGTGCTGTGTGGTCTTGTGTGGCATTTCACCTGCCATAAGAAGGMAGCAAAAGGTATCATTTTTTTCTCTTGAAGTAATGGATCTAGTTTACTTTAGAATTGATAAGGATAAACTGCGGGTTTTTGTGTGCGTAAAGGACTGAGTATCTTAGTTTAAAACTAGATCCATTACTTCAAGATGAAGTAAGTCCTTTAATGTCAGAGCTATCAGTATTTCTAAAAATGTATACATTTTGTCAACGAGGATCTAATGCAGTCGTATTTTAGATTTTTCATATATGGAAAATAAGATAACTCTATTCTATACTCTATCTATTCATAATTCGTTTGAATCCTTCAGTTTTAAGTCACTTGTTTGACAATATCTCCATTTATATAGCATAAAGGGATAATAATTAATAAGTTTTTTGCTTATATTACGTATTTTTTATTTTTAAACATAAACKAAAGCTCGAAAGRGATGCTGSTTGACCATGGACCTTTTTAAATGATTTCGATTTTTACTCARTGATGCATCTACGAAAGAATGAGTGCAAGGGATAATGTCCTCTTTCAAAACCAACTATAATGTTGTCTGACCGTCGCCTTCTTTTACTCTTCAGTTTCACCCGTCACAGTTGAAATGCTTAGTCAAAAAGAACTAACTGTCCGCAAGATGAGAGCATTCGTCGACAAATTCCACCAGCAAGCAATGTCCAAAATGAACGAAATGCGAGCCAGACATCATCAGGAGAAATTAAAACTTTATCGAAGAATAAAAGAACGAGAGAAACAAAATCAAAAAGTCGAAAGGGCTCAAGCTAAGGCAGCAAGATTAAAGGCCAAAAAAGAAGACCCCGATGGAATGTATTCTTTAAGCGATCTTGTGAAGCTTGCTACCAATATGGTCCGATCATAGACATATTCGATSATAGACATACATGTAAAAACTAAAAACGGCAGAACAAGAGAATGACATGGAGAAACAGTAGTAAGATAAAAAAAACTGATAAAAATGAAACAAGTGAGCAGCGGAGAAGAATAGAATAAAGATAAGATTACGAGAAGAGCACGACGAATAATACAAAATATAGCTATACTCAAGAAGTAAAAACAACATGCACCATTGAAAGTTATTTTTAGTATTTCAAAGGTTAAGCTCTACTGGATACAGTAAACCTCATGAAAAATGTCTTTCAAAAAAGCAGAAGCAACTAAGAAACTTTATTAATTAATAAACGGTATATCTACAATGGACAGGAAAGTTTACTCGTAATAAAACAATGTTAAAATACTTTCTTGACGTGTTTTTTTTTTGTTTTTGTTTTTTGTTTTGTTTGTTTGTTTGTTTGTTTGTTAGTTTTTGTTTTTTGTTTTGTTTTTTTTGAGCACTTTGATGGGCGAAAACATTCCCAGAAATTCGATACAACGCGACGCATGCGCATTAATTATCTGCTCGGCTTATGCACGGCATTTTAATGAGCAATAAAATACTAAGAAATTAAACCATATCTAAACAAAGTCTGAGGCTTCATACAGATTACTGTATGACTAACAATCTTCGAGATTGGCGGCTTGATTGGACATTTTGGTGTGCCGTAGCCCATACTTCTTTTTTTTTTTAAATTATTCATTTTTATTCATAAAAAAAAACGGTCATATTCAGCCATTTTGGTGGGCTATAGTCCATAGTTTTTGATAAAAATCGATCATTTTGGGCCATTTTCGTGGGCTATATCCCATGCATTTTGATCAAAAATCGGACATTTTCCCCAATTTTAGTGGGATTTTTATCAGAAATTTGTCWTTTTTATCCATTTTGGTGGGCTAGATAGCACACGGTGCTTTTGGTCATTTTAGTGGCCTAGAGCCCATACAATTATAATCAAAAATCATAATTTTTGGCCATTTTCGTAAACTGTGGTAAGTACTTGATACTTCTATTGACCATATAAAAAACAAGCAGAAGACTGAGAATGACAACCTTAAATGCTCTATATCTTAAAAAATATGTTTTCACCATAAGAAAGAGTACATCTAAATTACTATTGAAATTAGTGTAGTTTTGGTTTCTAATGTTGGATATCAGCTTTTTAAAATTTACTAAAAACGTGAAAACGAGAATGACCGATTTTT